AATTCGAAGACTGCGGCGTATTTTGTTCAGCTAGTTTACAAGGAAAAAATCACCTGTATTCATCTTAAGAAGTGCTTTACATTACATCATTGCGTCATTGATCACTTTTGGCTGTGAAAATTACATCATACATTAGTAACAAGATCATTACATTGTGTCATTACATGGTTTTTAGGGTTATTTAGGCGGATTTGATTGGTTTTTGAGGCTGTTGACTGTTGTAAAGATTGTTACATGTGGATATAAGTACTCCTTGATGATTTTGGGATTGTAGCGCCCTTTTCTGCATCTTATACCTTTGTTTAGTGTTATAAATCATCATTTATTTACTATATTTGTACTAAGATCACTTAAATCCGCCCCTTCAAAAGCAAGGAGAAATTTATTTACGTGTGTTAAAGACTACAAGTCTAATTGGGAATAATACTTACAACAGTATTGCTAGTAATAAACATAGTGTGTGACTTTTTTGCGCTTAAAATCTGGGAATAATACTTAACAACAGTATTGCTTTATTTCTCTGGTGCCTTTTATCCTTTTCTCTGTTGTCACAAAGTGGTCAGCAAGTGCCCTTGTGCCGGTTTCTTTGAAGAAGGCAGTCTTTAGGCAACTTCTACTATATTACACGTAGTAGATTATCCCTTCTTAGGTGTTGTAAAGCTCTTGTTGAGCTTTAAATACTACACCGTGTGAGCAGTACTTTCCCTCATAAATGTTCTTTCACGAGGTGGAAGGGTTTCTTCCCGTACATCAGTTCTTTCACGCATTGTTGGGCTCTGAAAGCCTTTATGCACTGGTGTAGGTTCTACGTAACTTACTGCTCTTTCTCTTGGTTCCGCTGTGGCTAGTCTGAATCTGGCTTCTCCTCTGAGTGATGGATCAACTCTTGGGTTCTCTTCAAAAGGTGAGTTGAGATGTCTGTTGTGTACATTTGGACTTGTTTGATTTATTGGGATAGGAGTATTATTAATGTTACTCCTCACATCAGGTTTGAGTTCTTGAATGATTGACAGCCTTGCTTCATTGGCATTGTTATCCATTTGTGTTAGTTGTTGTTGTATTTCAACATTCTTTTCCAATATTTTATTATTCAATAATACTTGTTGTCTCAGCATTTGGTCTGAAAAAGATTTAATTTGTATTTCTTGTTGTCTCAATAATTCTGTTTTCAATTGTTCATGATTATCTTTCATATTTTCTTGTAATGCGTGGTAAGATTTCATCATACTACTTTCAAATTGTTGTTGTTGTATGTTTAAGTTTTCACAAATTTTTGTGATATTTGTATCCTCTTTTATCTCGCCAATTGTTGAACTTACATGGCTTTCGTTCTTCACAAATTCATTGAGCAATTCCTCAATTTTATTATAGGGGTCTTTAATTGGTAGTTTAAGTTGTTTATCTACTTTAGCCTCTAGTTGCTTCATTGAGTTTTTTATTTCTCCGAGATCACATATTATTGCATCACTTGTTTCTCTGATAGTTTGTTTATCTTCACTCCTTTCTTGATACATTTTATTTATTGTCTCATGGAAACTTTTATCATAACTGTTAAGTTTTGTGGACAATTTCTTCTCATTTTCTGATATTCTCGTGGCAATTTGACTAGCTAAATTGGTCATTTGCTTTATCATGCTTTGTTCTGAAGGTTTCAATCCTGGATCTTCAACTATTTTGTTTAATGTACTTTTAATTTGTAGTACTAAAGCTTGAGTCTTATTTAGACTATACATTGGTGTCACATCTTCAGTTTGTATTCCAGTCTCTCCTTTTTTTATATTGTCACTTGTATTTGATGTTGATGTACTGGATTGTTTAGTTTCAGAGGAAATAACTTCTTTTTGTTTACCTTTGTCTTTAGGTATTATTTCTGATTGAGTTAAATGTTTGTTTTCTTTGATTTCAACAATTTGTTCTCTGAATTTTTTTAATTCACTTAAGATATTATCATGCCTTGTTTTATTATTTTCTTTCTCATCAAGGTTATAAAAGGTATTTCTAACTTCTTCTATGTGTTCTTTTAATTCTGAGAACTTACTCATGATATCATCATAAGATGATTTCTGAAGTTGGCAATTTAGTTGAAATTCATTTACTCTCTCTCTCTCACTTTGCTCACATTGTTTTTTTAATAAACTTAAATCTGGTTGTAAATTTTCAACTCGTTGATAGATTGCATACGTTTTTCGTCTGATAAGGTCATCTAAGTCTAATTGAGAAGTTGAAAGGGAAATAGAAGAAGAAATTTTTAATTTTAAATCTGAGACTAAATGCGACTGGTTGAACAGTCCTTGAGAGTCTAACTGGTCTAGCTCCTCTTCTTCCGATTTTAAAGATGTAGCATAGGAAGAGGGTAGGATGGAATGGTCCTTATCTAAAGGTTCACCAGTAAAGAGTGTATCAGTACTAAGAACTGATGGGTGATTGTGAAAGGATGAAGTGGGGGGAGGGAGTATACTTACTGTTCTCTCTCCTTCCCCTTCCCTTTCGAATCCGGGTCTCGATCGTCCTTCTTCATCTTCTTGACTACTAGAATCATGTCGAGAAGATTCGAGGCGTTCTCCGCCATCTCCTCGATGTCGTCGTCGTGAGCTCTCTTGCGACGCTGGCTGGACGGTCCCGCTCGTGGATGCTCGAAGTACTCCATCGTGCGAGGGTTCACATGGTAGGGATTGTACCCTGCCACCTCCTCGACTCTCGTTCGATGGCGTCGGCCACCCATGAACTCCTCGAGTTCTTGGTGCGCCTCCTTCGCTGCACCCAAGATTTGGCGAAAACTTACGTTGTTGTTCGCTATGCGCGCCTTGTCCAAGTTGTGCTTTAGGTCCACAATTGCCTGACGTAGTCGGGCTTCCTCGGCTTGACGCGTTTCCTGGTAAGATGGTTGCTGAGGAGGAGGTGGAGGTAAGTTTGGGTTGCTGACACCCGGGGTAGGTTGGTGTTGATAGACTGGGGAGGCTTGTGCTGGGTAATGCACTTGGGGATGATGGTGATGGTGCGGAGCCGGAGGGTACTGGGCCACAGGAGCTGCTAGGTTGGGCGGGTAGTTTGGTTGATAGTTGTAACCGGCTTGTTGCTGTTGGGTCTGACGAAGTTAGAGATAGGATTTTTTTATTAATATCTCTTTCTTTAGCGAAATTGGCTACTAAAGTGGGATCTGGCTTACCTGAGGTTGGTAGTGGTTTGAATAACTCCACTGTTGACCTCCTCGTTGATCTTGAGCTTGGTTCTGTGGGTTGTTTGGGTTTTGCTGACCCTCGTGAGCTGGTTGAGCCGGCGTGGCTTGGTTGCCTTGAGCTTCTAGTAGACATAGGGTTTATGATTTACGCGAATTATGATCGAATGTATGGAAGAAAGAAATAAGAAGAAGAAAAAATTTAAAAAATGAAAGAAACAATAGAGGAGTTGTTATAGGAGAAATGATAAGACAGAAAATCACTTTATTAATGTTTTATGATTTTTCTTGTACTGGTTAAATATGTTTACTTACAATTACTATGAGTTCCTCGATCTTGTTGTTGTTCTTGGGGAGCTTGTTGGTGATTCTGTGCTCGCTGATCGTGAGGTGGTCCAGATGGATGGTTGTGATTTCCTTGTTCTATTTCGGTGATCAGGAGAGAAAACGAAAAGGAATTTTCTTTTTTAGAAACAGAAGAAGAAATTTTTCTTTTGAATTATTAGTTTATCGATGACTTACGATAAGGCTGATTTACTGGCTGTCCTGGATTTTGAATGACCAAATGATGATTGTTGTTATTGTGATACTCAGGTGGTACGATTTCTGGTGGAGGTCCTTGGGATCTCTCGTATTCTCTCGCGGTATCGTCAGATCCGGGTGAGTCAATCTCGATGTTTGATAACGGGTCAGCAGCCGGTGTAGTGGTTGTGGATTCAATCACAATCGGTTCGTGGCTCGTATTTCCCTAAGCGTCCTCGAACTCTAGAACTGATCCG